TCTGAAAGAAATGAAGTCAGATGAAGGTCTGGTCATTTTGCAGGAGTGGCTTTCAGAGGTTTCAGTCACCTCTTCTTTGGCACGCACATGGCCATAGAAGCCATTGATTCTTGGGTCTCTCTAGCTTTTTGTTTTGTTTTGTTTTGTTTTTTTTGGTGGAGGAAGATGAGCCCTGAGCTCACATCCATTGCCAACTTTCCCATTTTGCTTGAGGAGGATGGTCCCTGAGCTAACATCTGTGCCACTCTTCCTCTACTTTGTATATGGGACACCACCACAGCATGGCTTGATGAACGGTGTATGGGTCTGTGCCCAGGATTTGAACATGCGAACCCTGGGCAACTCAAGTGGAGCTCGCTCGCTTCCTAGAGCAACCCTGGAGACAGCCCCAGGATCTCTCTGGCTTTTATCCTTTGCTAGTTGTTACAAGTTTCCTTAGGCATCTGTGTCTAGCAGCCATTCTCCAGTGCAGGTGCATCTTATCAGTGCTGATTACTGATTGCTTAATAAACATTCTTAACATAGTAACCTTTGGCTGATTCTTAATACTCCTATATATTCTCTGAGTTGCTATTGCAAGGAAAATTTGACCAAGGGTTATGTAGTTAAAGTTTTAAATAGCAATATATCTTATGAGTGAGAACATATAAATAGATGTAAGAGTGACTTTTTTTATGGTTGCTTACTAAGGGCCATGATATATTTTACCAATATTCAACTGGTGGCCATTTAAGTTTGCTACTAGTTTTCCATGATTACACATAATCATGAAATGTGTACATATCTTTGGGCAAGTGCTTATAAAGGCTACATGGAATTTCTGAATCAAAGGGCATGCACATTTAAATTTTATAAATCTGCCACACTGTCTCTCAAAGTCATAATCTCACCAACAGCATGTGAGAGAATTTGTTTCCCCATGCCACTTCCTTCTAATTTTATTTATGTTGTCTCTGAAAAATTTTGTGAATTTGGCAAAATATATGTAATAATCTTTATTTTGCATTAGAATCAGCACACTTGGCATTAGCTCAAAATGGACTCATCGGCATTAGCTCATAGGACTAATAAATGGCTAATCTAGATTAGAATTGAAATCTTTCATATCTAGTATTCTTTCGTTTAACTGATACTGTAAAATGTTTATTCGATTTTACTTTTTTCTTCCATGTTAATACTTGAAACGAATTTAATAGTCTGCTTTTCGCAAAGTCAAATTATTTCTGCCCAACTTTATTTAACAGAAATTACTGAAATAGCCAATTAACCTCTGATTGTGAATGGAGCTCTTCATTATTTGTTATTATCATTAATTTACATTATATCAGATTAAAAAATTGTAAGTTTAAGATATATTTAATTTACTTCTTGGTAGGACCAATATATAAAGTTGATGTTGAGATTTTAGTGTATTTTATTCTTCAGATATTTGTCAGCCTGATGTGTAGTAAATAATTGTTCAACCACTGAAGTTGTAGTATTTGACAGATCTGCAAAAATTTTCCTCTATAAGCCAATGAAATTTTTACATTAAAAGATAACTCATACAACAACTTATATTCATTAAAGCTTGGAACAAGTTAAATTGATGACAGAGTCAACATATTTTTGAGGCTGATTCGTTAAGAGTAACCTCTATTTCTGGTTCTTTTACTTGGTCACTTTTGTTAGTAGTGATATTTATTTGGTTTTCAAATTGCTGTCAATGAATTCATGCCAACATTATGTAATTTATGCTTGAAATATTTTATTTTTAAAATGCCATTTAATTTATGTATATAGAAAATATTTTATTGATAAAATTTAGAAGTGGTAGACTACATCTTTTTTGGTCAAGCTTTATTAACAACAAAACAAAATAGTTTTAGGGACAGACTGGCACTTGTTTGTCCTTTCAGAGGGATTGTCCCCTGCTCCCAACTTCCAGGTAAGGAGAGAAGAGTCCACAGATTGCATCATGGTTATTGTAACTCCATTGGCCATTTAAAACAGGAATAGATGTGGGCAAATTGACTTCCTATAAAAAAGTTATTTCTCTTTTCATAAACTGCTCTAAAGATACCACCTTAAATCTAGGTGTGAGAAGTAACAGGCATTACAAGAAGTTTTTGGATTGTAAAAGTAACTCTGGTCTTAGCTGAACTAGATTGATTAATAAGTAGTTTTACAGATTTGTGCATTGAAACTCATCTCTCCTTGCCTTGTCCTCCCCTTGCGTTTTGTTGCTTTTATTATAGCACTCATCAGAGTCTACCATGCATTGCATATATTTGCTTCTGTTTCTCTTTTTTCTGCCATAATTGAGCCTGGAGAGCTAGTACTTTTTGTTGGTCATCTTTCTATTCTATTTAGGGCCTGGCACACAACAGGTATAAATGTTGAACTCAACTGATCTTTGGAAAATAATATAGTGTGAAAAATTGATGTCATTCTATTTGATAATCCTTAGCCACTAAAAACTGTTTCTTAGATTTTCACATTACTTCAGTGAATCTGTTTTTACGTAAAAAGATCCCGTATACTTGTTAATTTTGTTTACAGTGAATTGTTTTATATACTCTGAGGGCAATTACTCAGTTCATCGTCTGTTTCTGTTTATTAATCTTTTCAATCTCCCTATTCATTCATTCTATAGCATATTTTATATGTGAGATGATCTCTCTATTTTAACTTTTGATGATTTTGAACTTTTAGGTTTTGATATTTAGGAAATGTGAGGAATATTCTGTGATTTTCTGCAGGTTATATTTGTGGTAAGATTCGAATTTAGGTGCCATTCTTTTTAAGGAAATGTATGTTGTGGGTAATTGGTAAAATGAGACGTCCTCTTAGATATCTTTGTAAAAACTCTTAGTTTTGTTTTGCACTTTTTAAGTAGCTTGGGATTTTCTTTTCCAGGAACACAATGGTTTTTAGACTTTATTTTCATTCTAATAAAAATGGAGGAAGAAGACTAATGTTTACTAAAGGCTTACTGGGTTTCAGTATTGTGATGAGCCCTATATATGATTATTATACATTAATTGCTTAATAACTCTATGCCATAGGTGATATTATCTCCATTTATAGATGAGGAAGCTGAAGCAAAAAAGGAACATCATTTTTGCCATTTAAACTCTGTTTTGTTTCTGATATAACATAGAACACAGAAAATAGTCTCACATATTATGGATTAGTGGAAAATTCATTGAGACTTTTATTTCTGTCAATATGGTCAATTAGATATCCTTGAAATATACCACCTGCTATCAAACACCTAGAAATCTGGATGTATTGTAAACACTCTTGTAATTGTGCAGCTTAATTTGCAAAAGGTAAGGTGATTTCATAAGTGCCATAAAACAAGGAAGTAGCTCAAAAGAATGGTTCGCTTCTTCTGAAGCTCCTGGTCCTCGAGGTCTTTGCTGGTCTCTGTGACCTATGACTTTGGTGTTACCAGCTTTGGGGACAGGAAGCAGGACATTCCTCTGTTCGGGCTGAGGAACTGGAATCTCAGACATCTTCCCCTTCACTCTCATTGCCCAGGGTAAAAGTTTAATCTATGATCATTAGGTAAAGGACATTTTTTTTTAAAAAACAGAATATAAGAAAGCAATTGATGCTAAGATACTGAACATTTCTAGGAAAATTAGAAATTAGAGAAGTAACAACAACAACAAAAATAGTAGTCCATGGCCTAAGAAAATTTCAAGGAACAGTTGATCTGCAACATCAAATCCTAGAGTGACAGCAAAGAGAAAGTGCAGGAAAGGGGTAGATAAGCCCCAGCCAGAGAGACAGCTGGTCTTATTTGATTATCTTTTACCCCAAGTTTCAGTCAATTTTGTGCCGCCTTCACAATTTTGACAATGTTCACACATTATCTAGATTATTATTTACTTAATATCTTAAAATGAAGTTATGCTATGCTTATGGTTTATTTTTGAAAGAAATCTTTTATATCACAATAAAATATGGAAACCCATAATATCTGCCAGAAGTAGAAAGTTATCTGTAAAAATGAGTAAAATAAGGGAACAAAGTTATAACCATGTCCTGTTGCCTGTTACTGTGCAAGCCCTATCTTCTGTTATAAAGAAGGGAAAACAAGCTTCAAGAGATACTGAAGATACCATATACAATCTCCTCCTTTATTTAATAAGAGGAATTGAGAAAGATGCTAAAAGGACACATGCTTTGTCTTAGGTGATTCTGTCTTCCTTGTGTGTGTGCCATGTAGGCTTGTTTTTAGCACCAGCAGTGTCACTGGCTGAATGTGAAATGATCCGAGGAGGGAAGTGTGATCATGTGCATGCCTGAGTGCCTGCTTTTTGATGTTTATCATTTGAAAGATACTGCTCTAAACTTCCTGTTGTTGACGAAAATAATCCATAACCAATCCCTGTTGTTGACGAAAATAATCCATAACCAATCTATAAATGAAAATTTGGGAGAGTTTATTCTGAGCTGAAATCTGAGCACCATGGCCTGGGGCCTTTCTTCCCGAAGGAAGAAAGAGCACCAAAGAGGTGAAGTATACAGAGTGGTTGTATACCCCCAAAGAGAATGTTTCACATATGATTGAAATGTCTCTCCCACAATAGTCACAAGATTGCCCTGTCAGCACAGCGCTTGATGGACACAGCAGGTAGCGGGTCTGCTATCTCGGTGGGCGGAGCAGGAGGCAAGTCTATTGTCTAGAGCTGGGTTGTCAGAGGTGAGCTCAGCAATCAGTTTCTAGCCTAAGGAAAGATGCTTAATCCTTAAGGGAATGCCAATGTTGGGAGGGGGAGGGAAGTTGCACCTTTATCTCAAGGGCCTTTGTTCTTGCCATAGGGAATATCTAAAGCAGATATACAATGCATGCTCAACAGCCTCTGTCAGGCCCTTTTGGAAAGACAAGGTCAGGCCGAATTAGGTTTACACAAAATGGCTTCCTCATATTCTCCAGTATATCCTATTGCTTGCCATTTTTATTTGTCACTGTGTTGAAACAGTCTTTGTTTTTTTTCTCTTTGAAGCTCTTTTAAGAGCCTGTGCTGACGGAGGTGCCAACCGCTTGTATGACATCACCGAAGGAAAGAGGGAAAGGTATGCTTTCCTTGAGCCAGCGTCCGCAACACCACTAATTCTGCTCTTCCGTTTGTTCTATTCTCTTCTTAGTAAATGGTGACTGTTAATTTTCCTTCAAACTTAACAAAAAACCCCCGCAGTGAGAAACCTGCTTAATGTTGTATTATTTCGTTGCTTTGAATAGAATCCCTTAGTAGAACTAGGCTAATCATATTCTTAATTTAAAAGAAAAACCCATTCTACTACTTCAAAAGTCTCATTAAGTAGCATATCAAATATCAATATTTGTGAGGACTTTGAATATTGATTAAAATAAAATTTCTAATGGTAATTTGAGTTGTTATTCAGTTTAAATGCATAAAACTATCTCATATAAGTGAAATGTATATTCTCTTGTAGAAGATGCAAGATTTTTATATTAGTGTTGAGTAAAGCTCAGTATAATTTACTCTAACTCAGTTACTTCTGAGTTAGGCACATAGATATATTTTAGGAGACAAGTAATTTATTTCTTAATGATTTGTTGTCTGTGCTGTCTCGTTTTCCTGATCTTTGCATGGTGAGCTATTTTTGGATGAGAGAATATGTTTGAGGAGAGCAAGATTTAAATCTAGCTCATTGCCAGCATGTTCATAGTTCAACCTCTTGGCAAATACAAGAATTTATAGTTTAGATATACATAGACCGGCTATGAAATTTAGTTCCACTTCCATCACGTATGTTATTGAATGTACTGAAATGTTTATAGTTTGAGAAATCAACTCCTTGCTGCAAAAAATAAAGTAAAAATATTATGATGCAACATACCATAGGTGTGAATTACATATATGTATTTTGAAATATTGTAAAATACATCTTCATGGCATCAGAATTTTTAACTTCAGCTTTCTAATGTTGGAGCTGCTTTTGGAAAGCAGCTGGGAGCTTATAAGACGAAGGCATGTTTCTTTTGAGATTGGGCATGCTGATGTCTAGGGACTGGATGTGTTATCATAGAATACAGCAAAAGTGGGAGCCTAGGACACAATTTAAATTATTAACATTTTGTGCTGCTTTATTTTTTAACTGTACGGATTCCTCTGACTATGTTGTCTAAGACCTGACGTGGACAGTATGTGAAAAAATCCTCAAGTATGTGTTACAAAAAGTGCCAGTTAGTTCAGGAAAGAGCATAATACCCATGAGGCCAAGATTATGAATTGGGTACTGTTTGTTTCATGCCTGTAGCCTGCTTGCTGGCAAGAGATCTGGTCCTGGGTGCTGTTTCTCTAATGGTACGTGTAGTCCATGAACATAATTATATGAACCAGAGCTGTGCAATGCTATTAACACAGTGCTTCCCAACTCTTCCTTGATTGTAAGAACCATCTAGAAGACTTGTGAAAAAATACAGATTTCTATACAATTATATTAATTATTTTTATTGGATTGGGCTGGACACTAATAAGAAAGATGATACACAACACTTTTATTCACATTTGAAATCAAAACAGATGACCATGTTTGAGAAGTGAGTACTATTATTTTTGCCCAAATTTCAAAATAATCATTTCTGATATTTCTTAACACACTTATAAGTGACCCTTGGAAGTCTTCCAAGAAGATTTATGATTTATCTAACAACTGTCTGTCCATATGTGAAGATGTTCAATAAGAAAATGTGCTTTCCATTGAGTTTCTAGGTATAATAATATATTTGCAATGATTCCTACTCTGATGCTTAGGGACGTGGCTGGCCTGGGTAAGGGTGGAGTCCCGAACAGGGAGATGAGTGAAGCTAATTGCCTCATGTGGGAGTTAAATTCTTGGAATAAATCTCATTAAATCCAAATCCTAACCAGTTGAACTAATTGGATACAGGTGATTAAACATGATTCCTGTTAATTTTATTTTTAACAGAATGGCTTCACAATGAAAAAGGAAAAAATATTTATGAGTTTTAAAAAGGCAAGTATGGTTTATGGACCTCTGCTTGCCTTGCTCTTATTTGTTCGTTTATTTAATGTCCATATCTACAACATAATACCTTATAATTATGCAATTACAACTGAATGTGTAGAGATTCATCTTCAATTGAGGGCAAAATGAGATATTTAGATGTTTAGAATGGAAGGAAGGAAGACTGATGTAGACAGTAACAGAGGAGCAAGGTTTATAGTGGGATAGAATTGGGGCAAAAATCAGTGGTGACCTTAGGTCCAATACTCTACCCAATGCATTCAACTCTCCACACCGTCTTTCATTATTTTTTTTTCAAGTCATTTTATTGGGATTATAATGGTTTATAACGTTGTGTAATTTCAGGTGTGCATTATTGTTTATCAGTTCCTGAACACACTTCATCATGCTCACCCCCGGTAGTCTAATTTTTATCCGTCACCATCTTTGTTTGTTTGTCTGTCTGCTTCAACTCTGGAATCGGCCTCTCTCTACTTATCAGGTTTAGAAGTTCTAAATGTTTTTTCTTATTTGTGAAAACAATACATGGTCATTGAATACATGTTAGTGAGCTGGAAGAAACAGAAAGTTGAAAATAAAAATTATCTGTTATTTCTTCCTAAGTAGCAAAGAGTTGGATTGGGTCTACCTATTGGTTCTGCCCTTTGGAACAGCAGAAAATATGACTTATTTTTCTGTAGCCACTTGCTCAAGTGAAAGTAAGCTTGATGACTGTAAGCTCCCTTGTGCCTAGAAAATTGTCTGGGAATATGAGACACTCAACAAATGTCTGTTAGTAATTGAACATTTGAATAGGATTGTTTTGTTCTCTCTCCCATAGGTTTTGATTGACTTTGATTAATGACTCTCATGTTTTGGGTAAATAGATTACCTCTGCTCTGAGAGCTGAGAGGTTCTGATTTGGATGTGTGTTCAGTCTGTACATCAAACTGAGGCAGGTTGAAGTCCCAGTCAGGAACAAATAGAATGGGCTCCACCAATGACCAGTGGATCCTACCTTTGGCCGGGGCAGTGAGATTAAAGAGGAAGAAATTTTAGAAAGACTCAGTCTCTGTACTGCACTCCTGTACTCTTGATTGACTGTTTTCCTAACACCAGATGCCTGTTTTTGGAAATGTGGGGTAATAAGTTTGGGTATCAGATATATGCACCAATACCCGCAATTCTACAGCTCCAACCTGATACTGACTGAACTCTCATGTTTATATTCTGATAGTAGTCTGCAATTAAGAACTCCTATGGTGGCTTCATAACATCCTCCTGCCCTCTCTCCAGTAGGTAAAACCCATTATTGGTCAGAACCAGGATGGTAAAGCACAGCCCCACTTGTCACAATAATCACAGGCTACAGAGATAAAGAAAAAAAATACAAGAGAAGCAGAGTAAGATTTTCTAGGAGGATTTTATGGAGCAGACTTTTTTCTTGCCCATCATCGATAGGCCTTGGAGGTTTGTTTTAGAGTGATGATTTTATTGACACTATGTTAGGTCAGGAAAGTGTAAATTGTCCACGTCACAGAAAAATGAAAGATGGTTGTTTGTATGTACCGGGTACATAATAATGATTATGGGAGGGTTAAGGCCACGCCCTACCCCCAGCCACCATTGTCTCCTTCCATTTCTCAATTATTCCTATTTCTGCATGTTTAGCAGATACTCTAAGAGCAATTTCTGCTCTAGTCAGTTTCTGACCAGAGTCTGAAAAGTAGTCAACTGTGGCAGTAGTTACTAACCTTTCTCACCATGGGGAATATTAAAAACAAACAAACATATAGAGAAGTGCACAAATTAAAATGATATAGTCCATTGACTTTTCATATGGGGAGCACACTCATGTCAACAGCACTGAGATCAGTAAATTGAATATTACCAGTGTCACAGAAGCCTTCCTCATGCTCCCTGCCTTCGCCGTCTCCCCTAAAAGGGAACCTCAGATGTAACCACTATCTGACTTAATTAATCTTAGATTATATTTGCCTATTTTTGAACTTTATAAAATGGAATCATACTGTATTGAATTTTGAGCGTGTGGACTGTTTTTTATATGTAGAATTCATAGCTCTCTAAACCTGAAAAAGGATTAAGAAACATTGCTGCAGGTTCCTGCAGGAGAATTACGGTGACCATAATTATGAGGTGGAGGTGGGGATGGAATCAGGTAGAAGAGAGTAAGAGGTATATAGAAAGGAAGGAGAATTCTAAGACCGATGACACAACCACAGTAGTCTGACAATGGGGAGAAATAGTTTATATTCATCATTTGAAAATAATACCTTTAAAGAGGGGTAAATATTTGTAAACCCTATTCTGTTAGAAAGGTAAAATAAACTGACCAAAAAAAAAAAAGAGAGAGAGAGAAAGAGAGAACTTTACAATGAGACAGGATCTCTCTAGAATAATTCAGTAGCAGAAATAAGAATGTAGCATTTAACTTATCTTTTATTCCTTCATTCAAGCATGTATTGGATACTTTCAATAGTTAAACGTTTTGATAGTTACTGTGAATATATAAATAAGTAAAATACAGTTCTTGCCATCAAGAAACTTTCAGTATAATCAAAGTGAAGAGGATATTGGTATTCAATATGGTAGATTATAAAGCACATAATGAGAAAATTCTAGTTCAGCATGATAGGTTCCGTGACAAAGGAAGACATGGTGGATGGACAATTAATCCAGAATGTGAGAGTATTAGAAAATATTCTGAGGATCCTAATGGGGTGTAAAAGATCAAGGCCACAGAGTGTGTGGTGTGTGTCTGTGTGTGTATGTGTGTGTGTGGTGACCAGGGGGAGGAGAGGAGGTTTTCCTTTGTCTCCTGGGTAAAATCTAAACTCATTACCTTGAGAATCAGGGTTGGACCTTTCCGTACCATGTCAGCCATGCCCAGTTTCCCCCCTTGTCTTCTCCCAGGCCCTTTCCATTCACTGCCTGTGCTCAGAACCTTTCTCAGGCTGATCTTCAGCTTGTACACATTGGTACTGCCCACAATCCATTCTGATTGTCTGGCCATCCGTTCTGATTAGTCGGTACTTATTGTACTGATCCTCAGATGGCTT